GATTTTAAAAGCTGGTTGAGACATGATTTGGCTTCATTTGAACAGACAGGAAACAAACCAGGACCTATAAACACACCCTGGCAGCAGCGAAGAAAGCTTATGAACGGCCTGTCATTTCACTTTACAACCACCGAAGTCTTCTCCTAACACCTACCTTCAAGATCAATCCTAGGGCAAAGGGAGAAAAAAATCTAAGATTTTAATAAATGTTCTAAAGGAAGGGGCAACAGATGATAAATCCTGAAGAACTACTGCATTAGGCGATGGCAAATTTTTTCTGAGCAGACATCAGATGGACTAGATGGGAAGGAACTGAATGATGTATTGGGAGTCAAGAAAGCAAAAATGAAAAACTACAATATTTTAGTCTCTTTTGCCAGGAAAACAGCTTAAGTAATCACATTGTAAGTATATCTGTGCCTCTTTCTTCTCACCATCCCTTTTAATCAAATTAAATAGAAATGACCTTCCAAAATCTAACTGTCTACAACTTCCACAAAACTAAATAGCCAAATAGAGAAGATGCTTTTTTGAGCTGCAACACAAACTCTTTTTTAACAAGCAGAGCCCCAAAGGGAAAATTACTCTTGTATATAATGCTGGCTCTGTTGGAAAAGCTTGAGTAAGAGACAGCAAGTCCTTAGAGCAATGGCTCAGTAACAAGATCTACTTACACTGGAGAACTCGCTAAATCATGATCCTCAGCTGCAAGTCCTCTCTGCTGCACAGACAACAGCTTGCTTTTGAAGCAGGCAAAGAGCAGTTTCAAGGTAAATTAGCATCAGGTTTTGTTCACCTTAACAAACCACGCGTTACAAGCTGTAGCAGATGTCCAGCTGCTTCAGTTCAGCCACGGAGGCAGCTGGCACTGACAAACGTGTGTGTTGAAGAAGAGGAGGTTCTTTGAGGCATTGGCAGGGAACCAAAGCAGAGGGGAAAGCGACTCCAAGGACAGGGTAGTGGACAGTCAAGCTCAAGCTGTCAGTAAAGCTGAGAGTAAACAAAGGTCAATAATAAAAAGTCAAGAGTGGAAACATCTAAGATTGGAAACCAGTACAACGCATTCATGAGTACGAAAGAGGAAGGCATCAAGCAACAGGGAAAAGAGAAGAAACAGACAAGACCAGGGGCCAAAGTCAAGAGAGAAAAAAGCCAAAACAGCAAATCGTTTGGAAGTACAGAAAACGGGGTGGGTGGGAAAGCCAAAGGCTACTACTCATCAGCATTTCTTCCCCTTTTCTTTTCTGCTGTCTTAGGAACCAGCTTTTCTTCTCACTGTTTCTACAGAAGGGTTCTCCTCCTGAGTCAGAAGGCATTTTTTACTGCCAGCTTTTCACAGGCTTCATGCTGCTGCTTTGTAGGCAGGAGAAAACAAGACCCAGCGAAGGAAACTCCAGATCTTATTCAGAGATTAACATAGGCAGCAGCTCTGACCACGCTTCTTCCCCATCCAAAGATCCTCTCCCTCTTCCACACACCTGAAATCACACTATATGTTTGACACTTACAAAGCACTTGATAGCATCTCATTTCCCTAGTAAACTGTTGTATACATTAAGCATTACCACAGAATAAATTAGTTACTTTATCAAGAAACTTGTACTTCTCTGAAGCTGGAAAGCCCCCCTTCCACGTAAAAAGATAGAAGGACAGTAGGGGAAAAGTAGGACATAACAGGCCTTCGACTACCTGAGGCCCTGTGGCAGCAGAACTGAGGCTTTGACATGAATCTTAAAGTTCTTGTTCCCAAATTGGTGAAGACCGGAGCCTCAGGAAAAATTGGAAATTACTTAGTAGATGAAAAAAAACTTCCTTTAGGTATTGCATGCACGTGATACGCAGTAACCATTTGCAGCTCATAGCTTGAAAGGGTGCTTTATTTTGTTTCAGTACAGATTCACTCCAGTTCACAGAGAGCACATTAGCTAATACATATCTTCACTTTGTAGGAGAAATGGGCATGAACACACGAGCACTCAGTCACCAGCCTTTTATAGGCAATTTATGCAACTTTTGCCTCGAGAGCATCACGTATGGCACACAGGTTTCACTAGCATCCCATACAGAAGTACTGTAACATCATCTCTAGAATCACAGGAGAGGAGGATGTAAATCTCAAGAACTGTAAAACTATACATGTATTTACTGCTGGGGGATTTAACGTTCAAAATCCCATTTTTGACATTAACTTGAAAATCTAAAAGAATGTGTCACTGAATAATGTATGTTCTTCCTTGAGGCACACATTCAAGTTCAGGCTATGGATAGCAGTCTTCGCTTCAAGCAGCCATTGAGAGCTGAGGACACGGAGCAGACAAAACTGTCTTAAAACCAGGTCTCCATGAGCTGCAGTAGCAGCTAACAGGAAGAAGAGTACCTGAATCTCAGCAGCACAAAGCAGTCTCCCATGTTTAACTGTTTTAGTAGAACCTGAAATGGCAACAAAGGCAAGAATGTTAGCTGAATCAGTTCCTGTTGACCTCCAAACTTACTTTCCTTGTTAGACATGAAGTCTGGTAGTACTTGTGGGGCTGTGGGTTTTTTAAAGCACAACATAGGACTCAAGACTCTAAAAGCTCATCTATTTTCCCTGCACATCCAGGCATATACCAGGTGGTCCAGCAAAAGACAGTCACTCCTCACAAAACCTTCATTACCTACATCAAAGTTCTGTGATACACCCAGTACAAAGTCTCCCCATCACGGACAGAGGTTCTATCTTTAAGCAAAATGAAGCTGATAAATACCATAGGCAGTTATCTTCTAAGTGAAAAAAAAAAAAAAATTAGAAAACCAAATCCTCTTTCTGGGGGGGATTAAAGGGTAACGACTTTTAAACCATGTTGGCTGCAAGGGTGACAAACCCCAATATCCTCCACAAGCTAACATGAAACCCGCAGGAACACAGAAAACACTCACAGAAAGAAGATGAGAGGATGGAAAAGGGACTATGAAAGATCATTTCAGTCTGAAGCATGTTTCAAGTAGCTTAGATTTTCAAAGCCATTTTAAATATTCTGTGCACTTAATCTGCTCCTGAATACTCCACTATTTTTCTCACCTTTACACCTAATTACTTTTCTCTCCTCTGAAAGAGCAACAAAAAATGAGAAAAGAGATCACAGGAGAGACAGACAATGAAAGCAGTGAGTTAGTGTACACTATCAAGTACAGAAAGTATTCTATAAGATGTCAAATGTAAGAGCGACACAGCAACTTTCATTTTCCATCCACTTAAAGCAATCATGTTTTGAAATGTTTAAAAGAAAATGTCCCAAGTTCATGCCCAAGCTCCTCAAAGTTTTAAACACATCATCTTACAACTGAGAGAACACTATTTGTCTTTTTATTTGTAAACCAGAGTTTGAAATATCTTACAATGTACTTTTAATTTCATTTTTCTAAAGAAACAGCATTTAAGAACTGAAAGAACAGTGTGCCATTAAATGTTAAGGACCATATTTTAAAAACCTTTATTAAAAAAGGTTATATAGTATGATGAATTTAAGTTATATTTTAAAGTCAACTACTTAAGCATATAAATGATTGAAAATGAAGTGCAAAATTGGAAGTCCAGTCACAGATGAGGCTGTAGAGTTGTGCTCAAGATAGAAGAGGTGTACCCATGGCAGGCACAGCTGCACACTTACAAGCTAACTAGGGCTGTCTCAGCCATGAATCCTTCAGATCTGAGCGACACCACTGATTAGGTCAGTTTGATCTACTTAATATAAACTGTCCCTCTCTAATAAGAAGGATATTAACTAAAGCTTTCAGTTAAGCAATAACACCTTTCTAATTAGCAATAAAAAATAAAAATGACATGCTTGCTCTGTTTCAGGCACTTTCAAGATCATAGTTTATTTACTGTAGGTAAAAAGCTAGTATACAGATTAAGGGGTTCCCTTAAATTTCAACTCTACAGTTATACACCATCTAGTATTCTTGCTCTGAATATTAACCAAAAAAGTTTATAAACACCTGTAAGCCCCACCATAAATCTGCATTGTTATGAGGAAAAAAAAGGGGGGGGGAAGCAGAAATCAATGCTTAATTTTTTCAATGCACAGAATCACAGAATGTGAGGGGTTGGAAGGGACCTCGAAAGATCACCTAGTCCAAGCCCCCTGCCAGAGCAGGACCACCTAGAGTAGGTCACACAGGAACATGTCCAGGCGGGTTTTGAATGGCTCCAGAGAAGGAGCCTCCACAGCCTCTCTGGGCAGCCTGTTCCAGTGCTCTGTCACCCTCACAGTGAAAAAGTTTTTCCTTATGTTAATGTGGAACCTCCTGTGCTCCAGCTTGCACCCGTTGCCCCTTGTCCTGTCGTTGGCCATCACCGAGAAGAGCCCGGCTCCATCCCCCTGACACTCACCCTTTAGGTATTTCTAAACATTAATGAGGTCACCCCTCAGTCTCCTCCAAGCTAAAGGGACCCAGCTCAAATGCTTAATATTTACAATGTGAAACCAATGGGAGGTAACAAGCAGTGGCAAAGAGGCAATGAATTTTAAAAGCCAAAGTTTTATATATTTTTTTTTACAATAGTGTGCTAATCAGCACAGTTGGATATAAAAAAAAATCAAAATATAGCAGAGTGTCCCATTACAGAGATCTTAATCGTCTGAACTGCAGTCATTACTTGCTAACTGTTTACACATACCACCTGCTAGGACCGACTCTTTGTTTCTGAAGTGTAAAACAGATTATGAGGTTTAAGAGACAAACATTAATTTGTGTACAAAATTAAAAACTGCACTCAAGAATTGTACTGGTCATGAGCCTCTTCCATACAGGAGGCGTAGGGAGAGCAGGGAGAACAAACATTGATATAAGGTGGCCTCTTTAGTACGGTAATTATCACAGGCAATGCAGAGGCTGCAAATACTTGGATGGCAAACTCTGTGGGCACTGGAAACAAACAGCTTTCACATACACGTGCTTCACAGGAGGCCCTTCTTTCCATTGAATGGCAATGGCTGACAGCAAACAAGGGGCACCAGGTGTACAACTAAATAGATCTTGCAAAATACTAAGATGGGGCAATTATTAATATATAATTTGAACTATATATACAATATAATGGAATGTATCCCATCCCCAAACTGGTTTCCATCCCCAAACTGGTTTATGAAACAATTGGACCTTTCTATACTAGCCTTATGACAAAGCTATTATTCTAATGAAAATGTAAGTACACAAAAGACCTGCATGAAAAGTAAAATTTATGGGGCATTTTACAGGAACTATTGACAAAGCTGCTTAATGGCATTTCTGCTTTTAAAGTAATTTTCCTAGATATAATGGAAACAACATCTGTGTATAAAATGTCCTGACAGACACTTCAACATGGAGCTTTGGTGATTTAAGAAGGCCCTTTTTAATCTGTTATGAATTGTACGGCAGAAGTATTGATGCATGCACACATCTGTGTCAGCTGAGACTAGTGTTCCAGCTGCATGCACGTTTCCTCCTTGAGGTGCTTTCCATGTTAAACCACTTCAATAACAGTAAGATGAAAAACAGATTAAACAAAGTATTTCAGATAACTCAAACTGAATAGGAAATGGAATGCCAATATGGCAGTAAAACCTTCTTCTGTTGTTTTTGAACAGGAAGGTCTCTTGTACCAGCAGAATCCTGTATACAGATACACAGAGAAGAAGGGAATACACCGCTTATAATTCCCATTAAACAAGAGCCGATTCATCATGTGAGAAGGTACAAATTACAGAAAACATGAATAGTCAATAGAAGAGAAACAACTGGTTCACATGAGAGAAGAGAGAACCCTTCAGTCTGAATGCAGTTATTTTGTGAAAGCTGCTACAACAGCCCACAGAACCTCATTCGTGTTGGCTTTCATACATTCAACCTCAGGGTCTAAATCCAGAAGCTGCCGCACTCTCTTTGTGGCTAAATCATACTGCTCATCCAAAAGGGGGGCAAAAGCGTTCTCCAGAACATCTGAAGCATGGGCTAAATAAACAAGTGCCAGCAAGCGCTTGTCCATGCGGTGAGGGTCATTCACCCATTTGTCAAGAACTGCTTCTTGAACCTTCTTGATGAGGCGCTGTTTGATATTGTTGTTGGTGAGAGGGTGCGTAGTCATGTCAAAAAGAAGGAAGTTCTGTTTCTCTGTTGTCAGTACACCTTTTTCCACTAGATTTTTAGCTAACCGTTCACGGACATTTCGCAGTTGGTAGTGCAGCTTCAGTGGGTTCCATGTTTCACCTAAATAAGCAAAGCAAAACACCCAACAGTCAGGCAAAGTTTAAG